TGACTACTCAGGTCGAGCTATCGTAGAGTCTCATTCAGGACCCACAACCAAGGGTGGACAGCGCTCAGACCAGTGCAATCAGGGCACCCCAGATCAACGCAGCTAAAAGAATTCTTGTCAGTGTGATTATTGTGGCCGACTAAGACATCTTAGGTTGGTTGCTGGAAGCTTTATCAAAGCTTAAGCTACCTCATCGTGACCGTACTACTACTATTACTGAGGTACCACCACCTACTGTCATTGCTCCTACTACTGCTCCTCATTGGCAGAGTGATATAGCTATTATCACATTTCACTTGGATATACTTATGTCAGCTCTGACTTTTCAAGGTCCGATTACTGCTATTGCGACTACTACAAGTATACCTCATGTCTTTCATACTTGCGCTAGTTCGTCTCCCTTTTGGATGTTGGACTCAGGTGTAAATAGTCACATGACAGGCGAGACCCATCACGTCACCACTTTTGATGAGTCGTTACGTACACAGATTCAGTTAGTAGATGGGACACATGCCCTATTGTTAGTAGGGGTACAGTCCGTCTCCTAATGATTTTATATTATGTTCAGTTTTTTATGCGCCAAAATTGGTCATGAATCTATTATCTGTATATTAGTTAGCTAGCGATCATTGTGCAATTGTGTTCTTATCTGATTCGTGTTATTTGCAAGACCAGAGTATTAAGAAGATTATTATTAGGGGACATGAGAGAGATGAACTATATTATTTAGGCTATTTACCTCTAGTTTCACCTACATCAACTTTATCTTTATCTGTTCCTAATTTACATGATAGTATTTTATCTAGTACTTGTCATTAGGATTTTTCGTCGCAAACTGTTTAGTTGACACATGATCGTTTTAGGCATACAAATTTTAAATATTTATGTATGTTATTTCTTGTTTTGAGGAATGCTTGTTTTAGTGGTAAACTTGACTTTGTTATGTATTCCCTATCAAAATATGTTAGGACCAAGTATACTCCTTGTATGTACTAGTCACTCAGGCCATTTGACCTAATACACTCTGATATTTGAGAACTCTCCCCTGTTATTGCTCTGTCAGGTGCCCGATATTATATGACATTTATAGATGATCATACTAATTGTAATAGATTCTATTTTTTGCATAGGAAATTCGATATACTCCATGTCATCACTCATTGTCTCCAGATGATTAAAATACAATTTGATGTCATTATTCGTACTCTTCAGTCGGATAATACCAAAGAATATGTGTTTGATATCTTAATGTCTCACCTTTCTTCTTAGGGTATCCTTCAATAGCTTACTTGCCCATATACTCCTGAGCAAAATGGAGTTGCTGAAAGAAAAAATATGAGTCTGATAGGGATGATACATTGTATGCTTAGAGCTATGGGGGTACCAAAATCTTATTGACACTTTATTGTTTTGACTTCTATCTTTTTGTATAATCGTGCACCGAGTCGTGTTCTTCAGCATAGGGCTTCCTTATAGGTCTTATTCCCTAAGTGGACACTTTTTTTTATCCCCCTCGCATTTTTGGCTACACATGTTTTGTTCAGGATCGGTCTCCTACTCACAATAAGCTTGATGATAAAACGATTTGTTGTGTCTTTCTGGGCTATTGCCATCAATCTAAATGATATCGATGTTATGATCCTATCAGGTGCCGTATATATCACAGTTTAGAAGTTACCTTTCTTGAGCATATTCTTTATTTTTCTTTCAATCATGTGTTTACCCCTCTAGTTGATGATACTCCCTTTGATTTTTCGTTACTATAGGAGATAGAGTCATTGGTCACTGTCACTATAGAGTCACCAGTCTCTCCTCCTCTACAGTCACTCGTCTCTATCAGTACAGAGTCACCAGTCTCTCCTCCTTTGCAAGTTTATGTTTGTCGTCATCGTTCTTATCCCCTTGTTGATGTCCCCTCTACCTCAAGCGATACATGTAATATTTCTCAATTCGTTGAGCATATTGATGCACCTGTGGTTAGTACTAAAGAGATTGCAGGTAGTGAGCCAGTTACTTTACCTGGTGAGACATTATCAGTTGAAGATGATGATTTAGGGAGTCGTTATCCGTGGCATGATCATTGTCTAGTTGTTCGTTATGGTTGGATCGCTAGGACTTTATGTTCAATCTCTGGTTATCTTTCTTATGATGATCTGTCTCCTATAATTCGAGCTTATAGTATGACCTTATCATGTACGTCAATTCAGGGGTGAAGTCTGTTGATTGTCGCAGGGTTTACACACTGAAGTTTCTTGCGGATTGGACTATTGATCAGCACAAGGCTAAACATGTGGCGAAGGGCTTTACTCAGGTACCAGGTCATGATTTTTTGTGCTACCTTTACCCCAGTGACAAAATTGACTACCGTTCGATTGATTATTTCTCTAACTGCAAAGTGCTCTTGGTCTCTTCATTAGTTGGATGTGAATAATGTATTTCTTCATAGTGATCTAGACAAGACTATTTATACGGATGCACCATCAGGCTTTCGTGGTGAAGAGGAATATGCTGGGAAGATGTGTCAACTATGTAAGTTTCTTTATGGATTGAAACAATCACCACGAGTCTGGTTCTCTCGGTTTAGTGGTGTAGTTGTACATTTAGGGTTCATGAGATGTCATTCTGATCATACATGCTTTATTCAATGAAATACTTTTGGACAGTGTGTCATCCTTTTGGTATATGTGGATGATATTATTATTACTAGAGATGATATTTTTGGAACTGCGTAAGTCAAGATAGACCTTAGGAAGGCCTTCGATATGAAAGACCTTGGATTTTTGCGATACTTTCTTGAGATTAAGGTTGCCCGCAGTAGTAGGAATATTGTTCTTTCTTAGAGGAAGTATGTTTTGGATCTTCTCTCAAACACTGAGATGCTGAAGTGCAAATCATCATCATCACCCATGATTCTAAACCTGAAGCTCACTGTTGAAGGTGAGGAGTTGAGAGATCCAACTATCTATCAAAGGTTGGTAGGTAGACTTATCTACCTAGCCAACACTAGGCTAAATATTTCATTTGTTGTTAGCTGAGTTAGTGAGTTCATACACAAGTCGTGTCAATCTCATCTTGATGCAGTTTATCATATTCTTAGATACCTCAAGTCTTATTCTAGACTTGGGTTGGTCTATGCATCAGGATCTTAAATTGGTTCTCTATCCTATTATTCAGATTCAGATTTTGGAAAAGTGTCTGATGGTCGATCTACTATGGGCTTTTGTACTTTTCGAGGGACCCATCTTATTTATTGAAAAAGCAAAAAATAGACAGTTGTCTCTTGCTCGTCAGTAGAGGCAGAATATCATACACTGACACTTGTCACGTATGATATTATTTGACTATGATCGATTCTTGGCGAGTTAGGATTTTCAGTGACTTCTCCATCCACATTATATTCTGATAATCGATCTGCTATTCATCTTGTTTTTGACTCTGTACTACACGAGAGGACGAAGCATATAAAGATCGATATTCACTTTCTTCGAGAGAAGGTTAGTTGTGGTATTGTCACTCCATCGTTTGTGGGGACTAGTAATTAAGTTGTAGATGTCTTCATCAAATCTATCACTCTCTCTATTCTCCAGGATTGTGTTGTCAAGCTTTAACTTAACTGATATTTTTGCGCCTAATTTGAGGGGGAGTGTTGGAGTTATAGTTTAGTTTATTAGGGTTTTGCCTTTACCTTTTTTACCCTTATTATGACTATTGTTTGGTTATATGTACGAAAACTTTACACTTAATTTGTATCATTTTTCACTCACAGATATCTCAAGTCTACATGCATTCATTTGGATGTTATCGATGGAGTTTTGTGATAGTACATTTTTATTTTTTGGTATTAGCTCAATACTTATTTTGTCTATAAGAGCATCATTGTGATTTTCATGCCATTTGTGATGAATTCTACGATTACCGTGGATTTCATGATTTCATATGATACTTTAAGGACATTTGATTTTACTATGTTGTGATATTTATATTTTCTTATGATATGGATTTTGAATTTGAAAGATAATGTTTTCTTATTTTATGATTGATTGTTTATTTATGTTGCCAATTTTGTTTATGGTGTATGGTAATGATGTTGAACTTCAAATCTATATAATAAAGTTGCTTACAATTCAAATTTCAAAAGATAAATAAAATGACTTTTACTGTTCGCGGTTGAGATTGTTTTAAATTTTATTTTAAAGTTTATCTAACGACTAATATTAATATCCTAAATTTAATAGAAAAAATAGATCCTTAAGAATGTGTTTTGAGTGACTTTTTAAAAATACTTATAGGAATTATTTCTCATAAGTACTTTAAAAAAAAATAGTGTATGAAACCACCCCACTACTACCTCTACCACCACCGCCGCCGCCGCCACCATCGTCATCACCCCCACTACAACTGATGTTTAAATATATTTATCTCTCCTCTAAATTTGTGATTTAATTTTAGATATAAATACAAATGTATTTATTATTTACCATTTTTTATTACTTTGTACTTTAACGCACAAGCAATAACTAGTATTTTTATAAACGACACTTGCCCGTGCATTGCACGTGTACCCACTAATATAGTATATAGATGTGTTATGAGAAGTGGTATCACTATGATACTGAATATCGACTCAACCAAGGGGTTCATGTGTATCAATGAATGTATCGAATTGAATTATAATTGGATTGAATATTGATAAATCTAAATCCCAAGAAGTACGAAATAATGGACACAGGTACAGAACCAGATTTTAATAATCAACAGAGGAAAAAAAATTCCTATTTAATTAATCGAAGTCTGAACAAATTCATATGTGATTCATTGACAAGCATTATCGGACAAGGAGTCATTAAACAGAACAAAAGATTACATTCAATTCAAATATTGCAGCACAATGAACTCCCAATTTTCTGAAGATCTTCTCGTCACATCATTTTTTCCTTGCTTGGACTTGATCTTTAACTGGAATAAGAACAATGAACTGTAAATTCTACAGCAATGTGCCATCATTGGAATATCTGGCTGCCATAATCTGTGTTAAACTTCTCGTAACGGTGAGCATGAAGATGAGCAGAGGGCCTTGTGTTCTTCAAAGCCATCTCTATGTCTTCATGTGTAATTGGCCCCACAATTGGCAAGTCTGCATGCGAAAAAACCGGTTTAGTACAGGATAAAAATTATACTTAGAAAACTGATGTAGATTGCAATATTCCAATAAGGAAGTTAATGATCTCGATGTGTTCATGATGAAATATGTCCCAATTATCTGGTTAATCCAGAAAACTTTTGTGCATGTCTCATGAAGGATATGCATTTTAAGGTCTGATAAATACAAACACACATATGCAGGGCTGGTGAAATCGAATAGTGTTGGAGCACAAGAGGGAATACACTCTCTCCTAGCAAAAGATGATGGCAAATTGATAGTGCGGCAGAAGAAAAGACTTCTTTATGGGCAGACTATGGCTTGTCTTGCACCTGAAAGAGTTGGTAGAATATCAAGCTTTTAGAATTTGACAAGGTAAAAGAGTTTCAAGATTGATATTTGGCATGCAAGGGCAAGGCTGGTTACTATGCAAGGCTGAGAACAGTTACTTGGACAGTAAGAGTCTGTTGCAGGTTTTTGGGTGTGTCAAGTTGAATTTTTTTATGAAAGAATGCTAGGCTTTACTGGGAAGGTTTTGTAAGGGTGAACAGTGTTGAATGGGATCTAATTTCAACCCTTTTCAAAGGCTCAGAATTGTAGAAAACGTCAGAAGAATAAGAAAAAAGAACATGAATAAGAAAGAAACAATCAAATAACACACTCACAAGGGTTAGCACATAACCATAGAAATAAACAATGATTGTCATAAATCTACTCCATTGAATCTGTTTTACCACACTACATAAGTTGAGAATTCTCCAACTATCATAAGGGAGGAAACTTGGAATCTAGGATTACCAGGACTATCAGAGAACACCTGGATCTCTCAATAAATACACAAACATATAATAAGTTAATCCAAGACATGAATGACCAAAAAAAAAATCCAAGACATGACCCCGGGACTAGGGTTATGACTCAAGTCCAGCAACTGTTGAAAAGAATAAAATACCCTTGACAACTAAACTCTTTTTATAAACCATTAAAAAGTTGACCCATAGCTTACCAAGTCAACTCAATTCATAGTAAAGACTAAATTAACTAAGAAGGACACTTTCCTTCGAACAAGAAATACTTAGTTGTCATGGAATCCATCAACTTAGCCAGCAGGAGCTTCATTCCAAATTGATTTCTGCAACAATGTAGTATTTTAACTGATTTGTTGAAATCCTAATTCCAATTAGACGTTTAATCACTTCAGAGGATCCCACAACTCTGCTCTCCCCCGCCCTTCCCCAACCCACCTGATAGCTTCCCGTGCCCCCTCCCCCACCAGCAGCTCCCCCTCCCCTCCTACCACCCCTCCCTCCCTGCAGTCCCCTGCATACCTGTAGCTCCCCTTCCCTCACTCACCCACTCTGCAGTCCCAATCCCACCCCTGGTTCAAACTTCATTCCACGATAGAACCACCACACCACCATCCATCTCAAACGTGCTTCAATCAAAGATAAAAACGAGCTCATTTTTAATTTGAGATTAAAACTAGTCAAATGAAATCATTCTCCATCATCTAGCAACTTGGGTCTCTTATTTAAACATCATTTTGAGATAATTATCATGATTGTCGTTTAGCCATGACATCAGAGTCTGGTCCAAGACGAAAAACAAAATTATTTCCTTAATAATGTTCCAAAATACACAAAAAAAATACAAACCAAAGGAGATGAGGATGAAAATATTTTTCCCTTTGGAATGAAGAGGTAGTGGTTTTTTGTGGACCCAGTGTTCTGGACAGCATAACCAGTGCCTACCATAGAGAGAAAAAGGGGTGAGGGACAGTGGGGGGTAGCAAAAAGACAGCGAGGGCATCATGATCATTTCATATTTACTATTAATTCTACATATTGGTCCAAATTCTCAAACATTAAGTGGCTGAAGGGCAGTGAGACCTAACCACAGTGGATAAAGTGAAATTAGCCAAAAACCAAAAAAAGAAAAACAAACACTAAAGCACCTAGGAAGTGTATTAGCAAGAAGCCAAGAATTTTTACTGTTGTAATATGAAGACTTATGTAAATGATTGCACATAATATGTACATATACAGAAGAATCATCAAAAAAGGACCTAAGGATATACAAAACATTTTGGTTGTGGAGATATGCACACACAACAGAGAAAGGGTGGAGATTCAACTAATGTTTACAGTATTGTAATGAGGAGTGAGGACACAAATGCAGAGATGTACTTGTGAACAATGGTGAAAGTGATAAGTGAAAGAAAGGACTTTACTTACCCAAAAAAACCCACTATTTCATAACAAAAACAGAGAGAAATTGCATATGACAACAATATATGATTTGACTTACCTTCCTCAGGCACCAATTCCTGATTTTCTTCAAGAAATGCCATGGTCCGTCTCAGGGGCTGCATAGCAGCTTCTTTGCACACTAAACGAATATCAGATCCTGAATAACCTTGTGTCCTTTCCACCAATAAACCATATGGAAGTTTCTCTTCTCCAGGCGCTGATGACAACAGTTCCTCAAACATGGCTTCTCTTGCTTCAGGTTCCGGAAGAGGTACAAGAATCTTACATCACAGTTAAAGAACTTTCCGTTAAAAGTAAGTGAGCTTTAATCAATGCACTTATTTATCATTTCAAAGATTCCAATCAGAATAAATCTTCAGTGCTGAACACTTTAGAAGAGCAAGAAGGTCAAAAATGATAGAAAGTCAGTCAAAACCCAAAGTATTCAAACCAAACTCTCATCCTGAAGCTGACACCACCAGAGCATTTAGAATGTTTACAAGCAGTCAATTAACTCCCATGATGTGCAGGAGAATAAGTTATGTTTTAGGATTGTCAGCATAGCCAACCCTTGTAGCCAGACTCCAAATGAGTTTCTCTCACACCATACACATCTGTTCCTTGACAATAACACAATCTGATCTAGACACACAGGCTTTTTCTGCATTAATTAACTAAGATTTTAACCATGGTAAGAAGTGTTCACAGAATCCTTTTAGTGCAATTCTTATAATCATAATAAGCAGGGAACTGCACCATAGACAATCAAAGGATACCCGCTTCTCGAGACGCCGGAGCATGGCTCCGTCTAATTCCCAAGGAAGGTTTGTGGCCGCCAAAACAAAAACAAGCTCATCTGTTCGCATCAAACCATCCATCTGCAATCTAATTCACTCCTTTAATTTCTCAGAAATTAGAGCTGAAATCATGCTTGATCTCTATCAGATACAAAAATGCTTCAAGATAATACATATTGATGAGATGGATATAGCAAAATCTATTCAAAATATTGGATGATAAGGCAATGCATAATACAACAGAAGCAATACAGATACGGACAATTTGACGAGAACACTGATTATGGGTGTTAGTTCTGACATTGAACTCAAGAAAAATATGTGGTAGCTGTCAGTTCCCCAAGCCAATCCCAAAAATATTGGGACAAGGCTCTGTGAGTTGTCAGTCCTCAAAGCACATGGCAAACTAAACCATTGATATGGACATGGGACATAGATACCATGCGATAAAGATAGGCGGATATGGCATTTCTCAAAAGGTAGGGCACAGACACGCTACAAATAAGTGTGTTTTACATATCACCTTATACAAGTTACCAGTATGTGCAAATATAATTAGAGTATTTATAACTTAAGAAAATCATACTTTATGTTATATATTTGAGTTTTTACATATGCTGCATACATCTGGATGCACTTTTAACAATCAAATATCACCTGTATGAGTAGCTCTGTTTTCAAACGCCTACTCGCTTCATGCTCACTGCGTCCTTCACCACGTTGACCAATGATTGCATCAATTTCATCAAGAAAAATAGTTGAAGGAGCATGATGCCTTGCAAGCTCAAATAGCACTTTCACTAGCTTCTCCGAATCACCTGTAATTCCATACAACTTTGAATGATTCATTTTGGTCCAATCTAATAATTTCTTCTTTTTCCGAGAATATAGGTTTGAAAAATATAGCTGCATTAGTAATGTGATATTTAGCAAACCCAATGTTTTTAAAGAGGCAAGCTAAGACAACCTACTCCTAACAAGTTGCTGGACTGAATTAGAACATTCGCCATTCGCTCCCCTGCAGCCAAGGAGGTTTGACTCCCATTATAGGCAGTGTGGCAAAAAAGAATGATTCAAACAGGTATGCCTTGACCACTTTAAAGCTTAAGGGGGTTCAACCCCCATTATATGCGATGTGGCAAAAAAGAATGATTCAATGAGGTATGCCTTGCCTGCATTAAGATTTAAAAGTTGTCGCCTAGGGGTGGTAGGGTAGATAGGATGTCAAGAGATCGATAGTGAACATGTAGAGAGAACATCGGTTCGGGATTCTATATCAATCGAGGAATGGTTCCAAGATCTAGTGAAACAGTGGAGCTTTTGAAGGCACTGTACATCCATTACGCATCATATCAAAAGTTGAACTCAATGTAAATCTTCTGATATCTGAAAATGTCATTACCCATTTTAATCCTTTTTAACCGATGCTGGGAGTGGGAGGGGTTGACAATAAATTGGGTACAAGCCTAGTTTTGGCACTGTTTACACAAATGACTGCTATCAGATTCAGATCCAAACACCAGGCAATGACCCCTGGCCTTGAACATCTCAGAATGTTATTTTCCCAAAAACCAACAACTAGCAAAGAACTCATGCAAGTAGTCCTCCCAAAAGCTAGTAAACATGGCCCACAACTAATTGCTTTCATGCTACAACAAAAGAACTGTACATATATAGAGAGGGGGGGGGGGGGGATGGAGGGACAGTTTGGCAGAAAATTAGTTTCTACAGAATGAGAGACTTGTCATAAAGAGAGACAAAAAAAATGTTGGAGTATAGTCTAGTTTATTAGGGTTTCTTTTTCTTTTTTTACCCTTACTATGATTTTATATTTTGCCTAGACCACAAGGATGTTTTGGTCACTTTGTATTATTATTTGACTATATATACGGGACTCTACTCTTAGTTTGAGTATCCCTTTCACTCACATCTATCTCAAGTTGGTATCAAAGTCAAACCTTAACCCTAACCCTAAACCTAACCCTAGCCCCTTCTCCACATTGTAGCCACCAGCCACCACTACCATCACCACCTTCATCACGAGCGAAACAGCCTGCAACTCCATATAAACCAGCGAAATCCACTCCCTGCCACCGACTGACCACAAAACCAAGACAAAGCCGAGAAACATCAACCCACTGCCCACAAACCACACCAACAAGCCCACATCACCTACCAACCTACTACCCGCCAAACCAGTCTGCCAACATAAAAGGCTCCCAAAACCAGTCTGCCAAACCAGTCCACATATACACCGACCAGCAAACCATAAAGCAAGCACCGACCAGTCCACATATACACCAAACAACAAGCACCAACACATACACCAACCAAACAGCATACGGACCTAGACCCACAAACAACCCAAGTCATTGCTGTCGAGCTACTGCCCAAGTCCAAACCACCTACTACCCGCCAAGCTCTTCATCATAGTGCCGCTATCTCTTTGCATCACGACATTTTTTTTTCCTAGGGTTGCAGCTTCTAGGATCTTTTAAGAGGGGTTGAATCCTCTTTTCTGTTGATCTGCTCTTGATGCAGTAGATCATTTATATTTATTGGATTTCTGGGCACCATGACCTGATTATTTGGGAGTTTTCTAGACCTTCTTTATCTGTCACTACAATTCGACTGAAGGTATATTGTTCTCCCTTATTTTGTTCCTCTATTTATCTTAGAGTTATTTTTCTGTCACGGGTACCCTAGTATTGTTGATGATATGACTACTACTGAGGGAGTTGAGACCCCTACCGTTGAGACATCTGTTAGCACTTCTATCGGGTATAGGGGTCGACAGCGCTCAGCCCAACGCCGTCAGGGGACCCCACATCAGCGTAGATATGAGGATTCTCGTCAGTGTGATTATTGTGACCGACCAGACCATCTTAGGGATCCTTGTTGAAAGCTTTATCCGGAGTTTAAGCCGCCTCCTCATAACCGTACTGCTGCTATTGTACCACCACCTACTGCCACTGTTCCTACTGCTGCTCCTCATTGGCAGAGTGATATAGATGCTATCATTTCTCGATTAGATATACTAATATCCGCCTTGACTTCTCAGGGTCTGACTACTGCTATTGCCATCACTACAGGTATACATCATGTTTTTCATGCTTGCACCAATCAGTCTTCTCTTTGGATGCTGGACTTGGGTGTAAATGGTCATATGACAGGTAAGGCTTATCACTTCACCACTTTTGACGAGCAGTTACATACACAGATTCAGCTAGCTAATGGGACACATGCCCTTATTATTAGTAGGGGTACAGTCCGCTTCCAGATGGCTTTACATTACATTCGATTTTTCATGCACTAAAACTGGTCATGAATCTATTATCCGTACATCAATTAGCCAGAGATTTGCACTGTGCGATTGTATTTTTATCTAATTCGTATTATTTGTAGGACCTGAGTACCAAGAGGATTATTATCAGGAGACATGAGAGAGATGAATTGTATTATCTAGGCGATCCACCTCCAGTTTCACCAGTTCCTCCTCCTCCATTATCTGCACCTTCTTTGTCTTTATCTGTTCCTAACTTAAATGCTAGTATTTTGTCTAGTACTTGTCGTTATGATTTTTCATCACAAACTGTTCAATTATGACATGACCGTTTTGGGTATACAAATTTTAAATATTTATGTATGTTATAACCTGCTTTGAGCAATGCTTGTGTTGATGGTAAACTTGACTGTGTTATATGTTCTCTATCAAAACATGTTTGGACCAGTTATATTCCTCACATGTACCGGTCACCAAACCATTTGACCTAATACATTCTGATATTTTGGGACCCTCTCCTGTTACTGTTTTGTCAGGTGCTCGATACTATGTGACATTTATAGATGATCATACCTGTTGTACTTGGGTCTACCTTTTGCATAGGAAGTCTGATGTACTCCCTATCATCACTCAGTTTCTTCAGATGATTAAGACACAAATCGATGTCAGTGTCCGTGCTCTTCGTTCGGATAATGCCAAAGAATATGTGACTGATGCCTTAGTGTCTCACCTTTTTTCTCAGGGTATCCTTCAGCAGCTCACTTGTCTATATACTCCTGAGCAAAATGGAGTTGTTGAAAGAAAAATAGGAGTCTAATAAGAATGGTACGTTGTATGCTTAGAGGTATGGGGTTACCAAAATCTTATTGGCATTTTGCTATTTTGACTTCTACCTTTCTGTGTAATCGTACACCGAGTCGTGTTCTTTAGCATAGGGCTCCCTTACAGGTTTTATTCCCTGAGCGGACACTTTTTCCGGTCCCCTCTCGTGTTTTTGACTGCACATGTTTTGTTCAAGATCGGTCTCCTACTCGCCATAAGCTTGATGATAAAACGATTCCTTGTGTTTTTATGGGGCTATTGTCATCTTTTGAAGAGGTATCGGTGTTATGATCCTATCGGGCGCTGTATGATAAGACCTTTCTTGAGCACATTCCTTATTTTTCTTCTATTCCTGTGTCTACCCCTCCAGTTGATGATACTCCCTTTAATTTTTTGTTACCACAGGAACCAGAGTCATTGGTCCCTATCACTACAGAGTCATCAGTCTCTCCTCCACCAGAGCCACTTGTCCCTGTCAGTACAGAGTCACCAGTCTCTCTTCTTTTACAAGTTTATGTTTGTCGCCCTCGCTCTCATCCCCATGCTGATGTCCCCTCTACCTCAGGCGATGCAAGTAATACTTCTCAGTTTGTTGAGCATATGATGCACCTATTGTTAGTACTGATGAGATTGCAGGTACTGAGCCAGTTATTTTCTCTGATGAGACATTGTCAGTGGAGGATGATGATTTAGGCGTCGTTATCCGCAGCGTGATCGCCGTCCAATTGTCCGTTATGGTTGGACTGCCAGGACTTTATATTCGATCTCTGCTTATATTTCTTATGGTGACCTTTCTCCTACATTTCGAGCTTATAGTATGGTCTTATCAGATACGCCGATTCATCGCTCTATTTCAGAGGCTATGTGGGAGCCCCAATGGGTTCTTGCCATGCAGACGGAGATGGACGCTCTTCAGCGTAATCGTACGTGGGATCTTGTCTCTTTACCTTCAGGGGTGAAGCTTGTTAGCTGTCGCTGGGTTTACATCCTGAAGTTTTTTGCGGATGGTACTATTGATCGTCACAAGGCTAGACTTGTTGCGAAGGGCTTTACCCAGGTACCAGGTCGTGATTTTGGTGCTACTTTTGCCCCCGTGGCAAAATTGACTACTATTCAATTGATTATTTTTTTAACTACGGAGTACTCTTTGCCTCTTCATCAGTTGGATGTGAAGAATGCATTTCTTCACGGTGATCTGGATGAAATTATTTATATGGATGCATCACCGGGCTTTCGTGGTGAAGAGGAGTATGCTGAAAAGGTATGTCGACTGCATAAGTCTCTCTATGGACTAAAACAGTCACCACGAGCCTAGTTCTCTTGCTTTAGTGATGTAGTTGTACGTTTAGGGTTTACCAGATATCATTCTGATTATACCTGCTTTATTCGACGGAATACTTCTGAACAGTGTGTCATCCTTCTGGTATATGTTGATGATATTATTATTACTAGAGATGATATTTCTGGGACTATGCAGGTCAAGGTAGACCTTGGGAAGGATCTTGGATTTCAATGATACTTTGTTAGGATTGAGGTTGCCCGTAGCAGTAGGGTATTGTTCTGTCTCAGAGAAAGTATATTTTGGATATTCTTTCAGACACTGGGATGTTGGGGTGCAAACCGGCATCATAACCCATGATTCTAAACCTGAAGCTTACTGCTGAAGGTGAGGAATTAAGAGATCCGACTGTCTATTAGAGGTTGATAGATAGACTTATCTACCTAGCCAACACTAGGCCAGACATTTCATTCGCTATCAGTCAAGTTAGTCAATTCATGCATAGGCCGTGTCAGCCTCATGTTGATGCAGTTTATCATATTCTTCGGTACCTCAAGTCTTATCCTGGACTTGGATTGTTCTATGCATCAGGATCTCAGACTAGTCCTCCAGCTTGTTATTCAGATTCAAATTATTGGGGAGCATGTGACGGTCGATTTACTACGGCCTTCTGTGCTTTTCGAGGGACTCATCTTATCTCTTGGAAGAGCAAGAAATAGACAGTTGTCTCTCGTTCGTCAATAGAGGCAGAGTATCGGGCACTGGCAATTGGCACATGTGAGATTATCTGACTACGATCGATTCTTGGCGAGTTAGGATTTCTAGTGGCTTCTTCATCTACATTATATTGCGATAATCGATCTGTTATTCAGCTCGCTTCTGACTTTGTATTACACGAGAAGACAAAGCATATAGAGATCGATGTTCACTTTCTTTGGGAGAAGGTTCGATGTAGTATTGCCACTCCATTGTTTGTGGGGACCAGTGATCAGATTGCGGATGTTTTCATCAAACCTGTCACTCTATCCATTCTTCGGGACTCTATTGTCAAGTTTGGCTTAGTTGATATTTTTGCGCCTAGCTTGAGGGGGAGTGTTGGAGTATAGTCTAATTTATTAAGGTTTCTTTTTTCTTTTTTACCCTTACTATGATTTTATATTTTGCCTAGACTACAAGGATATTTTGGTCACTTTGTATTATTATTTAACTATATATACGAGACTCTACTCTTAGTTTGAATATTCCTTTCACTCACATCTATCTCAACTGAGGGCGACAAACATGAAGATCGGAAATTCAAATTTCAAGCCTTAGAGTTGCCGGTAGTTGTTGTCTGAGAAAGAGGTAACAAATTTCAAGCCCTAAACCAAGGGACTTTTGGTTTTGCAAAAGCTTCTTAGTAACGTTAGGCTTAGCTTTATCTAATATAAAAGGGAAAATTAGACTTGGATCAGCATTACCCATGTCAGGTCAAATGATCATCCATTGTATCAATGAGCCTCAGAAATCTTATAAAATCGGCATTTTTCAATAAGTTTTGTTTTGCACTTTATCCAACTTAAAAAAAAATAGCCAGTAATGGACCATACAGTCTAAACATGTAACCCAATCCTATTATCAGATCATTGGTCAAATCATAGGAACCGTTGAATTAAATCATCTTTCAATAACTCAAGTCAATTGTGTGACCTACCAATTATAATTATAGGAGTAACAGCAATAAAGAACGTAACCTTAAGTGGTATCTAATGTTAAGATGTAGGGGGAAAATAGAGGAAACTAATGACGAGGGGGTAAGAAGATTAGGGACTCATTAAAATATGGAAATAGAAATAGTGTCAAGAGCTAAAAAGAGGAGGGAAGAGGGGAAAGGGGGGGGGGGGAGAGAAGGGGAAAAAAACCAAATAGCTTGAGATCCTAGAAGTTGATCTCTTTACCAATTATATCCTACTTGCCACATGGCTTTTGTGTAAACACCATCTCTCCCAAAAATAAAAACCTTTTCTCCTTCATAAAGAAAACCTTCTCTCTTTCCAGATTGTCGCCTAGTCCCCATTCCATCATTTAGATATCTTGCCAACAATTCAACTATTGTGCTGTAAGACCTTTGCACCCATGTGATTTGATGAGATAAGAAAATATACAGTTCAGACTCTTAATCTCATGCTCCTGTAAGGTTGTTTAACTTTTCACTCTGTTAAAAATCGACTATGAACCATGACATTGCACTCTTTCATATTGAATACTAGTGATTCTAACAGCAACTAATCTTTTGTGTGTCTAAGCCCAAAATCAATGTCCACTTAAGGGAAAATTGTATCAAATCATTTTAAGTAAAAAAGTTGACAAAAGAGGCAATCGAGATCCAAATATCCACAGAAATCATCATATTTAGCCTCTGAAATACTTTGAGGCTCAATTTTTATCAAACACCGATGATCTTATGAGAACTGCTCAACTGTGACATACCGCGCCATTTGCTGACAACAGATGATGCTGAAATGTTGAAAAAAGTGGTCTTGCACTCGGTGGCTACAGCTTTTGCAAGCATAGTCTGCAACATCAAAAGGTAACATGTTTATGTATAAGAAGAAACAAGAGAGTGTTCTTGCATGAAATGATATGTTTCAAACAAAAGAATGAGGAATTAGGATCCAAAAAAATCTGGACCATAAATGTAGCATAATCAAAATTTGAGGGAAAATCCTACAACAGAGTGAACTGACCAAGGCAATCTAATGGAGTATAGGATAACAGCTGGCGCCGCAAACCATTTTTCTCTTTTGTCCGTAACCCAGAAAAAAACAATTTAGAGTTCCATAGAAGTATTGTTAATGGTACAACAATAGTAATACAGCACTGTTCAAGATAATGCAGCAGTACGGCTCCTGATTACTGTAGATTACGTTCACAAGTATTACAGTAGCACTCGTCATGAGTTCTGTAGTTTGCGATTGATTAAGAGAAAGAGGAAAAGAATACTTTATTGGCTACGGGTTAAGGCCACAAGTCTTAGTTGTATTAAAAAATAACAAACAAAAATATATTACTAGCCAGGATTAATGTTGTGGAATCTTTATTTTCTTATGAAGAGAAGTTCTAACATCATCAAAAGACGACTTCACATATCAATAAATTTTGCCTCTAGCGATCATGCTCCTTTGACAAAAGATAACTATTAACAACGAAAAAAAACAAACCTTTCCTGTTCCAGGAGGGCCAAAAAGGAGGATACCTTTCCATGGTGACAGAAGACCAGTAAAGTACCTAGAAGAAGAAAAGGAAAATCTTGACTGGTTAAATGAGGACCTGAATGTTGTATGTTATAGTAAAATGTTTATACTCCTCACAAATCACAAAGATGTGTAAGAAATTCCAATTTTTTTCTTTTTGGGAGAGTCAAAAAAGAAATGCAAGAAATTCAATGCAACATTACATGGAGGGCTACAGCCAATACTCTTGCTCCCAAAAAAGAAAAGAATACTTTCAAATAATTATTTTGAAGAGCATGAACAACATGACTAACAATCTTCGTTGGGCATTGCTGTAAATTGCAATAAGCTATATACAACAGCAGAATTAGTGAGTCACTGCTGTCTAATAATATCCCTGCCAATTCCACCAGCCATCCTATTATCAACTAATAAAAGCTACAAACAAAGTTTTATATTTCAATTTAGAATATAGCTTGTCATGAGATTTTCAGGAACAAGACCTACTTGGGATATTTTATTGGCATGACAACAGCTTCCTTCAGTAGACGTTTAGCATTCTCTAACCCTTTTATGCATTCCCACTTCACGTCTGGATTACCACGAATGATATCCCTGCACAAGAGACAGGCTTAGGCAATATTAAGATTTTCAACAAACAAAGTATTTGTTAAATAAAAATCTTAGCCAGAATGACTACATGGAATTCAGAAAGACTTATGAGTAGTTCTAGATGGAAACTGAGAAGTCTTTTATGTAAACCATTACCTACTTAAACTCTCTGCTAAGTTACGCATTTCTGTAGATTCAAAAGCAGGAAGAAGAGATCTCTGCCTGAAAAGTGAACATCCATTGTTAGCAGATTCCCAAGAAAGAAAGGCATTGCTTCAGTTGTTGCCATAACTTGACAAAATAAACAAATCAAATGCTCTTGTCAGGAAACTAACTTTAAAGTCTGACCAAAAAATAACACCCATTTTAATCCTCATCAATGGGAGTCCAGGAGGGTAAACCAGTTAAAGGCCTAACTGTTGGCATTATTTGCACAACGTCGTTGGCCTTGGGTTCAATGCTACAGATTTTACATAGCAAGGAAGAGATCCAAGAAGCAGGTATGATATATATCTTCCAGTATAACCACACATTAGCTTTATTGTCAAATGGTAGTTGATGAGCCATTACAAACAGATAAACATTAGGAATTCTTGTGAAAGCATTACTCAAGAAAGTAGAAAACAAGTTATGCACGTAATAAATATAAAAAAATCATACGGCCTGTCATCAATTCTGGCCGAAGAAACTCCATTATGGTGCGTCGAGCTTCCTCTGTCCTGAAAGTAAACAGAATCAAGTCTATAAATAGACTGGAGAATCCCAATCAACCACATTACATCACCCCACAATGAAAAAAATGTAGAGCCCACATTTGCTTAGCTCGATAAGCTTGTTATAAACCTAAGTCCATCTTTAACAACAGGGATATGAAAACGGTTTTTTTTTTTTTTTGTGCAATTGGGAATACCTTATTCTGAAATTGCTCGTAAATGGCCAAGTCAGACGTGTTCTTCACGTGCCCATTTCCATTTGATGTCCCATTAGACAAGTTCCCATTACATTGAGCTCTTTCATCAGTGATCTGTCCATTTGCTGCCGCAGCTTTCACCTCTGGCTCTTTTTTTCTTCCAAACTTAAAACATCATAAAAGAGCTTAAAATACTAAATATAGACCAAATTTTCTTTGTAAATGCATCACTATTTATTTAATTGCAGATAGTCTATCAAGATTCACAGAACAAGGTTGCAAATAAGAAAAGAAATAATCGGATAAAAATCATGTGGAGTAACCTCTCTGCTTGGTTGCCGAGAAAAGGAAGGAAAATAAAGTAAAAAAAAATCAGAACAATGTGATTCAATTAAGTTTTGGTTTCCATAGATAGGAAAATTCAGCTGAACAAAACCAAACAGGTGTGTAAGCTACGCAGAGTTTGACATCATTTCTTTTCCCATTTTTTTAACAATCAAGCAATTTACAACAAGAAAACACGAGAGAGAGAGAGAGAGAGAGAGAGAGAGATCGTAGGTTTTAGTTCCACTGAATCATTAATTAATCAAGATTTAGGAGTTTAGTTCTTCTCTTTACCGACATTTTTATCGGCTCGCAAACAGATTAAACCTGGTAAGTGAGTGTGTGTGTGTGTGTGTGTGAGAGAGAGAGAGAGAGAGAATGAAATGAAACAGATGAAGAATGGTTAGTACCAGGAAAGACCAGCTAGTGACTGAAGGTTCGTCTGCCATTGCTGACAGAAATTTGGGGAGGAAAGGAGATTCGAAAGAGAGATCTCCAGACAGTCTCTCTCTCTCTATAACACACACACACTCTTTTTATAGAAAATGAACGTCTGATCGCGGTGGACACAGTAGACAGAAAAGCAACAGCATGTGCGAAATTGGGGGAATAAAGCCAAGCCAGGTAGCTTTGCGTCATCATAAAATTAATAATAAAATTATATCATTATTAATTTGATGATATAATTTTATTAAAATTATTAAATTAACACTAAATTTAAATATTTGGAAAACTTACGGTCAATATAAAAGTTATAATGAATTAAATCAGAAAATTAAGTTTTAATAGCATTGCTCAATTGACAAAATACTCAATTAATCAAATTTTAGAATTAAATTTATGACCTAAACGATTTCACAAATTTACACAATTAATTAGATATTTTTTTTAATAAATTCCAATTTTTAGTTAAGAATAGCATCATTAGAAGAAAAAAACAATTTTAATTATGGAGTTACAATTGAGATTTTTTTTTGGGTTATCGGTATGAATTGAAATAAAAAGTAGAATAAATTTTAATACGACAAAATTTCAAATACAATACAAAATTGAAATAATACGATATATTATAATGGGTAAATTACAACGTATACATTTAAAATATGCACTTAATTTTTATGGGGTTTTTGAAATTTCAATTGCAACAATTAAAGTTCTTATAGTTTTAATAGAGTTTAATTTAGTCCTTAAATTAAAATTCATCAATTTATTATAATAAAATGATTTTTCATGACCAATACATAATTTGGGTATAAGAGATATATTTGTCTGATAAAAAAAATGTTAAGTGTAGACTAAAAATTCTTATTTTATTTCATTTCTTTTAGAAAAAAGAAATAATAACACACCTGAAAAAAAAAAGATATAGAGTGAGAATTTGAGAGATGTGAAATAAAGAGAAAATTATCGACATATTTGAGAGAGAAGTTTTTTGTTGTACAACTATACCCTTACGGATAAACCCTTGTAACATCTTTCTATAATAAAAATTAATAGATCTAAATGAAAAGATTGGTTAAAACATTAAAAATGTAATTACATCAATTAAAACTTTAAACACAAAATAGAAATCTTGTTCATCCTTTTAGGATACAAAATATAAATTACACTATTATAAGTACAATTTGGTATGTCACTATGGCAAAACAGATTTCACAAAATATTCTTGAGGAACCAGTACAAAGAGTTTGCATTTTCTATTAGAGACCATGTGTTTTGATTCAAAAAGATCCACCATGCTTATTTTATATCAGTTACGATGCTCGAGACATATATTTGATTAAAATAGATTCTTTAGAATGATTAAAATATGGTTTGTTCGGCATATGAACCCACCAACTCAACTATAATATCATAATATAGAGGTCATCAAGACACCCAGGTACCCCCTCTCCCTAAGTCTGGCAGTCATGAACACGATTCGTGAATCGATACAAATTTGATATAGATTTAATAGATTTAGCTGTGATTTTAATGGGTTCGAGTAGTTAACGAGTTAATTCAGTTAACCCATGAAATAAGTAAATTGATTTCATGTTTAACTCACAAACTCATTTCAACCCGTGAACAGTGGTACTACAAATTTTAAAAAAACTAGGTCTCAGACACCGACTCCCACCACTCAGACTCATTTGAATTTGGTAGTAATTTAATGTTTATTTTTTGCTCAGCTATGATTTATTGTTATAATAAACAGGTCAAACATGTGTAATGTGTGTCGAGTTGATGATTTTTTGTGTGGGCTCAAAATATTTTAATCGAATCTCTTATTTAGCAGATGACGCACGAATTGTGTCAGATAACTCGTCTAATAAGTGAATCATATATGAGTGTAATAGTTGGACTCATTTATATAAACGAATGGGATGTAGATAAAGGATTTTTTAACATGAGTCTGTTCCACCTGACACAAACACAATTGCACGCCTACCCTTCCCATCAACACACACATCTATATAATAAAATATAATACAATTCAAATTTCAAAAGATAAACAAAATTACTTTTGTTTTTCTCGGTTAAGATCTCTTTAAATTTTACTTTAAAATTAATTTAACGATTAATATTAACACCCCAAATTTAATAGAAAAAATAGATCACTAAGAGTGTGTTTAGGGTAATTTTTTAAAAGTGACTATAGGACTTATAATTTCACATAAGTATTTAAAAAAAAATAGTATTTGGAACTACCCCACCCACCACCACTGCCCCCACCACCATCACCACTACTACCACCACCATCACCCACCGCCCCATCACCACCATTACTACCATCGTTGCCACCGTCGCCATTATCCCACTACCACCTCCACCACAACAACTACTATCATTGTCGCCACCCCACCATAACTACCCACACCCACTACTACCGCCACCTTACCGCTACTGCCACCCCGCCACTACTCCACTACCACCATTCACACTACCCTCACCACCATCTCCACCACTACTGTCGCCACCTTACCACTACCGTCATTGTCCCACCATCATCCCTACTACCACCACCCCCCACCACCCTACCACCACCATCACCATTGTTCCCACGGCAATCGCCATCGATCATCGTCACTCATCACTACTATCACCATCATCCACCACCATTGCCGTCCACCACCACTACAATCGCTCGCCTCAACTACAAACGGATGTTTAAATTCTTTTCTCTATTTTTTGTAATTTAATTTTGGGTGTGAATACAAATAAGTTTATTGTTAATCATTTTTTTTATTATTATGTGCCTTCAGGCAAGGGAAATAAACTAGTATGCTAATAAATATAAACCTGATTTTGAATCCTTAAGTTTGCTTATCACAAGAGTAATTGAAATTCATTCAATCTATTGTCTGAAAATCATCCCTAACAATTTTAAAACCCCAATCAATTCATACACTTTCACGATAACCAATGTTAGACTAAGTCTTCTCTCGCTTATCTTTTTCTTCTCTCTCTACTACAAATGCTGAATAATTTGCAATTTAATTTTAGGATTCTAACCAAGGAAAACTTGTTGAATTTTAATCTTAATTTACAATAGATGTAATTTTTTTAAATATCAATTTTTTTTTTGTATTAAACTGTGACTTTAGGTTTGAACAATTTCTAATATTGATATGTATTAACAATAAAGAAAAACAAAGTATCAATTTTTTATGATAGCTAAGATGTTTGACTTCGATTAGAATAATTGTGGGTTAGAGTTTCATTTAACATATATATGTTTTACATTTTTTGGAGACTTGAACCCAAGCATTGAGCAAGAAAATTCGAATTCTTACCCACTGGACGAATAGTTCGTTTGTATATGTCTTAGATTTATTTAGCTTGAAACAAAACTAAGTCTATGAATGATAAGATCAATTAAATTTGAACCAGATTAACCTCAAATTTAATAACCGAGCTCGAGTATGCGATAATCAACTCGAGTCAAGTCTGAACTTATCAAATTGAAAAGTTTGACTTAATTAACACCTCCATATTTGTCATAAAATATAACATTTGTCGTAATAATGTAGCTAATTAATACTACTAATAAAAGTACCCTAATATAAAAAACTTTTGATTTATTACTTTACCCTTATAAAGAATTTTGAATACTACATTATTCATAGTTAAATAGCTAAATTACTATCATATTTTTAGTGTTTAAATCTCCAAATTGCCCTTAACATATCTTTTAATTATCTATTTTTTTATGTATAAATATCAATATCTACGAAACTTTTTAATTGACTATGCTACCCTTAAAAATAAGTATTGATTAGAATATTGATAATTTATTATTATTTTATTCAATGAATTATAATTTGAAATCTGATCAAATGAATTTCAAAATGAATTATTTTTATCTTTTTTTCTTATAGTTAGAACAATGAATCGTTGAGAACAAACAAAAAATTTCATGTCCTATAATATAATATGAGTGAAAAAAACATAATTTTTATAAATTTAAGATGATATTTAATTTTATATACGAAAATTATTCGCGTGCAAAACACATGGTGCATTGTTAGTGTAACTAAAATATATGTTGATCTTTATTCTAAACACAAATGAAAATCCAAGAGATGAATCAAAACTTAGTACCTGCTTCATAAAGAGTTATACCATTATGAGTAAGCCAAGGTCCCACAGTTATACGCAAGTTTTTCAAGATGCAAATAACAATTTGTGATAACTGTCATTACTATTTGGGGCATGCAGTTGGTAGACCAAATCCCCTATAATACTCTCGTCAAATGATTGAGTTGAATGAAGTCCGGTTCAAAACGGGATGTGCAGAGGAATGAAGTCATTCCCTTAACCCCAAAATCTAGTTACAGGGGGAACAAGTAAGCCCAAAAAAAACTTGGGCATATTGGACCTGTCCGTCAGCCCAAAATGTGCACAAACACAAATGTCTACATGTTTATTCCCAAATGTATAGTTTTTTTCCCACCACATGTAATGAGCCCAAATCTAACTAGGTCAAGCCCAATTAATCAAGCAAACCTAAGTTAGTTAAAAGACAGCTCAAACCCACTTTATCAATCTGACCCAGTCCAAGCTTCAAGGAGCCTGGGAAGATAAGAGTACGTGGGAGAAAAATTATCGGGATACTCACTCATGAAGAGCAGTCTTATCATAATTGCACTCACCAAAGAAGTAGTGCCCTCTCACTCACGTCACCGCCTCACCAAACCTATATATTGTAAGCTCTCTCCACATGGAGAGACATCTATCTATTCCAACACACATCTTTACACATGGAGAGACATCTATCTATTCCAACACACATCTTTACACATTGAGCTTTGCCTCTCTACACCTCCCTACACACATAACTTATCTCTCCTAACTAATGTAATTCTCTTGGAGGATATTCTCCCGAAGCTTTCTTCCGATTACTTTATTCATCAATAAAGACTTTCAGCCACCGTTACCGCTTCTTGAGAGTAGAGTAGGTCACCAG